CCATAAAAATGAAAACCTGTAAGTCCGTTCTAGTCACATTATACATCTATATCACACCGTTATCAAAGGGAAATAATGACACCGGTCAAAGGTCATACTAAAATTACGAAGGCTTGCAATGATTCGAATTATTGCAAATGTTTTTGCATCAACTACACGTGTTCAGGAGCTTTTCGCCTACTTGAAACAACAACTCAAAACCTGATAACTTGGTAATATAAGCGTATGGGGGAGAACTTTGGTTGGAAAACCTGAAGGGAAGAGAGAATTTAGAAGAACTAGGCATAGATGGGAGGATAATACTGAACTAGATCCTGAGGAAATATGTTGTGGACTGAATTATCGATAAACGTGATTGGATGACTGAAACAGAATAAGGTTTAAAACAATTCAAAGGCAGTACAGTCTGGTAGCTCAGTTTACACTTGAACTACTGGCACGTGTTTACTCTGACCCCGGCTTAAGGCTTTAGATTCGTTTTCTTCTGTAGTCCAGAAACAATGACAGATCAGGGAAATTCCGTTCTATAAAAGACGTGAGGTGTTAAAAATATGAGGACGGGCGAAGGTGAATCCCTGAGAGCCTGAACTCACCATTTACAGCAACTCGGAAAATCCAAGCTGAAGACATCGTAAAAGAAATGTAATATTACGAAACGTTGGGACGCAACTTAATATGTACAAATAAAGACATATTGAATGAGTCAGGTTACGGTCAAGGACCGGATGGACAGGGACGATTGGTTATTTAATGACACCGTATCAACTTAAGTGTTTAACTGACTCCCTCGTCACCCGGCAAACTTCCTAACCGATAAAGGGGTCTCACATAATCTTGGGTGTTGGGGGGGGATGAAAATTTCATCTCTTGCCCTGAGACAACACAGATCAAGTGTTTCTCATGACGGAGTTGTGAGGAGAATATTTGGGCCTGAGAAGGGAGGAAATAAGAGCAAACTGGAAAAAATTACACACTGGAGAGTTTTATTATTTTTATTTTTCGCCAGATATCATTAGGGTGCAACAAATCAAGGAGAATAAGATGACTGGAAATTTTCTATTGTACTCCATTTTAGCTTTAAAGAGCACCACATTTTCGTGAAGACAAATGAAACTAGCATCGTTTGAGATTAAAAGTTTTCACGGCGGTAAAAATGAGGACTGCGGGCTTCTAGGTTCTGATGCCGTACAGTCTTCTATCCCGAATATTGAAGCGACTGGTTCCTCCGAAAGGGTGATAACCGCTTCACAGCTATAATACAGAACATAATCCTTAAAGTTTCGTTGGCTTATTGGCTTAAGAACGCTTTGTCAACTACGTGGGCCAGATTTCGTTGAACGGAAGATGACTGTACTGAAGTAATGAGATAGATTTGAGAGAAAGAGGTCGTGGCCTATTTGAAGGTATCGTGGATGAATGGAGACTATAAAGAAGTTTGTCAAGATTGCTGTATCCGAGATGAGTTTCGAACCCGAAATCCTCCGAATGTCAAGCA